CTAATACCCCCATATAAAAACAGTGACTCCTTATCTCGTGCCACGCGGTAAAAATACTCCGAATATTAAGGAAGATTCACTCTAGGATACAATCAGTGCGAGCGCAAAATATCCTTAGACTATCTACGGCGCAACTCAATCTATAAAAGATTTATTATATGAAACGGCGAACAGTTAGTTAGCAACAAATACAACAAAAAACAATCAATAAAAACACGGCGGTCCCTCCTGTGGCCACCCACGGCCTTTTATTCCACATTTGCCGCGCGATCACACTGGTCAAGATCGCGGTGAAGTCGCGATATTCCCGGCCCCGAATGGCGCAAAAGGGGGGGGGGGGTTAGTGGCGGATCTGTGCCTAGGGTGACGATTAGCTTCACCGAAATCATGGTCGAATGCCGTAGAGTCTTAGCTCACGTTTGCTGAATCCATGGCCCAATATTTTGCATCTATCACGTCCTCTAGGGTCACACCTTGAAGTTAATGATGGTATTGACAGTAGTGGGCCTGCCTCGGGTTTGTCTTCGATCCCTTCCTTGAGAGGGTGCTTCTCCTTGTCTCCTATCACCTGCTTTCCTGTAAGCAGGTAGCCGAATCTTGAAGGGAATCAAATGTAAGCCCGAAGGTAAGACATAATGTGGACGTGACATTTCAAGCAGATCCCACAACTGGTCACAGCCTATTAAAATCTGAGAGCTTGTACGAACCTATTTGATGCATTTTGGATAAGTATATTTGCCGCTCCTCAATGAATGCCAAGTCATCAGAGCTCAGCTGCGCTGTTTTGTTAGATGTGGTGATAACCGGAAGCGTGTGCAGGTGCATCTTGTGCTTTATCCCATATTTATCCCACAGTTCCAGGGTTGTCACGTTGCAAACTACATTCTTCGGTTGCACGGTGCCGAAAGTGTAAACGTGAAGCTTTCTTGTTGTCGTGCATTCTAGGCCTAGTTCGTCGGCCAAATCGGTAGAGATGAACGACTCATCTGCCCCAGTGTCTAGAAGTACTTCTACATCTTTCCACTGATTTCGTAAGGTGTCCCTTACTTGTGCCACTCCTGTCAGCAGGACGACATGACTGTCCGTGCGTCCACTGTTGTCCCCTTTTTCTGGGTGAATGCCTTTGTTGTGCAATGAAGCGAGGACCGTGCCTGTGTTGGGGATTTCTTCCTCTGATTGCGCCAAGCTTGCCGAATCCTCAAGGGTGCCTGTTCCGAGAGTGTGTGCGTGTGTTCGACCCTGTTTCCCAACCCACTCTCTTTTTACATTTCTAGCCAATTTTATTCGCTGGTCAGTCGTTGTTGTCGATTCGACCGCTGCAGGATCATTTCCCGGTAGTGGTGACTGTTGATGTGGAGTTGAGTGGAATTTCTTCGTCCGTGAAGGACATAGGGTGTGGTGGTGCTTCTTCCCTCCACAGTTTCTAACAGCCCTCTCTTTGACAGTTGGTAATTAAATGGCCTACTGCCCCGCAGTTAAGGCAACGGTTAGAGCCACGGAAAAAGTTCCTGCGCTCTTCGATGGTGGCATATTTGGTGCATGCTACCGATTTATGATTGGTAGCGTTACAGAAAAGGCATGGCGTAACCATAACCGCCGATTTCTGGTGTGCGCTATTGGTAACCTTCGCCGTATTACTTTTACTAGGAGCCGGATTTTTATTTATCATGTAATTGATATGTTCTTCCCTGCCTATGATTTTATCCAGGTGCAGAAGGATGTCACTAAGGATCCATGACTGCTCTTGTGTGGAGGCACTAATGCACTGTTCGAGAACCTTGCGCTGAAGCTTTGCTGTGAATTTTGAAAGCACTCTCTGACATGGGAAGGAGCCGTTCAGAGTCACTCCTTTATCTTCTAGCTGGGCTACTATTGGCATTATACTCTCAAGGAGGCGCCTTTGCTCCTCAAGACCTGGGTTTTCAGCATGCGCATGTTCAAGGCGCATCTGTAGACTATCGATGAGACGTGACTCATCACCATATTTCTTGCATAGGAACTCTATGGCTTTATCATAATTTGCTTCAGTGATGTTGAACCGGCGCACCGAATCTCTTGCCTCCCCTTGTAATGCACTGATTAAGTAGTTAAATTTTTGGAGACCTGTGAGGGGCTGGTTATGGACATTTGCTTCAAAAAGCGTCCAAAAGTTCTTCAAATTCCCATACTTTCCCGCTGAAGGTTGGGATGGGGATGGCCGGTAACTTGTGGGTTACTGGTTCTACTTGCATATGTGGCGCTCTGACGTGTGAAGTATTAGGGTTTCTCATTGATCCTCCGTGCACTTCTAGGGCGCTCAATCTTTTTGCTCTCTAATTCTATGGCCGTGCTTCGGGCCCTATCGATGGACATATGGGCTCTTTCAATATATCCGTTCGCCTGGTCGACTTGTTCCGCCGTGAGACTGTCTGCCAGTAAGTCCATCGCTGCTGTGAAGTCTGACAGTGCCTCGCATACCAGTTTTGAAAACGCCTCTAGTTGCAGAGCCAACTCCTTTGCTTCAAGGGCGCTCCCTAGGCCTAGCTCAGGGTCGTCTTGGGGCTCCCTAAGGTTTTTATACTGCTCCAATAAAGATTCAATGTGGTTACAATAGCGCGCGTGAGTAAACCCTTTTTTGAACTCAATCCTATGGGGCGGGACACTTGAAATACTCGCAACAAGTGCAGAGGAGAAGGCAGAAAATCTCACGTTTCAAAATATGTATTCAAATTTTTGGCTACAAAAGTTTGAGGAAAAAAACACAAGGAAGGTTGAAGAGAGAGGCGCAAAAAAAAAATCAATCAATTAGGAAGCGAAGAGGTGGAAGGTGCACAAAAATCAAAAAAAAATCAATTAAATGTAAAAAATAATTCTCTTCAACTCCTCGGGCGCCGGCGCAAAAAAAGGCTGAGGTTCTCACAGTGAGATAGAAAGGCGTACCTTCCAATGCAGTTCGAGTCCGATACTCGGGTCGGCCGATGCACCATATAAAAACAGTGGCTCCTTATCTCGTGCCACGCGGTAAAAATACTCCGAATATTAAGTAGATTCACTCTAGGATACAATCAGTGCGAGCGCAAAATATCCTTAGACTATCTACGGCGCAACTCAATCTATAAAAGATTATTATATGAAACGGCGAACAGTTAGTTAGCAACAAATACAACAAAAAACAATCAATAAAAACACGGCGGTCCCTCCTGTGGCCACCCACGGCCTTTTATTCCACATTTGCCGCGCGATCACACTGGTCAAGATCGCGGGGGAAGTCGACGAGTAACCCCTTATGAGCTCGACTTGGTGCCTTGAGGACAGGGGAAGGCATTCTTACGTGATGTTATGGAAGAGATGCGAGACACTTAGGACAGCTCTTCGGCTCTAAACTAGAGTTTTCCTCTCATAGCAAGAGGGGTTATGTTGCTTTACTCTAGGCCACAATGCTCTTAAGTGAACACGTTACGGAACCTCCCGAGTGGGGTCTCGCAAAAATCGACTATCAGTCAGTGCACACTCTGTGTACCCTTTTTCCAGGTGTTCAGCTGTTCTAGACTGAACTTTAAAACTTGTTGTCGTGCAGGCCACCTATCAACTCGGCGCGCATACTGTGAGCGGAGCTCAACCCAGCCGATATGTGTTTTCAACTTATTGACCCATGCCCTATCCATCACAGAGTTGGACCGACTTTTAGTGGTTTCAGATAGTACCGAGTTTTGCAAAACAGCCACAGAAAACTTAAAAATTAGCGCACTATCATAGTATAGTTAGTTTAAACATTCCATAACTATCGGCCCACTCCTATGAAGCGCTTATCTGTCGTTTCTTCATGTCGCGTTCGGTCGCTCTTGTCGCGGGTGCTATCACAATATTTCTGACTAGCTTGCGAGAGCCAGGTCAGAGGGGTGGGGGTGGGTGAGTATATATGTCGAGGTACAAACACGCGTTACCGCGCGGCACGTTTTCAGGGAATTAGCGCTCTCCCCCACTCTTCGGTGCGGATCACCGATAAGTCACTATTAGCGCACAGGCCTCGCCTCACGACGAATCACCTTGTCCCACCCAGACCCACCATCACCCAGTGCGCACACCTTTTCATCCAAAACGGCGAGCGGGGGAGCGGTGAGAAGGGTATCGGAGCTTGTGGAGCCTCGTCCTTTTGACGTGTCCTGCCACGCGAGTTACTTGATAACTAAAAGCTCTGAACAAATTCGACATGAGCCGACTTGAATTAACCTCAGCAGAAGACAAGATAAGTGAAAGATTCACTTGGAACGACTTGAGGCGGGTGACTGCAACCGTAGCTGTAAAAAACAAGACATTACTTGCTTTACATGCTCGAATTGAGCACAACGGGCATTTTGACGGAGAAGGTAGGGCATAAGCCCCAGCCGGATAGCCTGATGAGAATATTGATTGAGTGCACCTGAGATTGCCCTTTTATAGCCGCCTCGATCCTGACAGATCACCATGTAGATCAAGCCTAGAATTGAATCCAGCCGGTCAAAAGCCACGTAAACAAACACGAAAGAATAACATTTTGTTCGGGCATGGGTTTGACAATGGAAAAGTCTACCATGAACGTCGGCGAGGCTTCTCCAGAATGAATCCAACCTGTTATCTATACATATAGATAGGAAAGATGGCAAGGGGTAGAGGAATCGTTCTTTGCGTTCGAAAAGGCCGGCAACAATTTTTACCACAAACGGGAGTAGGGAGAGGGGGTTAAGAACACAGGCGCAAATATCTGCAATCGGTCGCACATACCTTCGCCTCCTCTTCGGGTTCGTCAAGCGATAATGTTTCTGGTAATTTGTTTTCTTTCTTTATTCACTGGATTCACTGATGATCTATCCCGTATTTATACCCTGATTTTCTGGAGCGGTAGCCACACTGAAGCTATCGAGAATTGGACTCTATTGGACCAAAAATATGATAGTACTCGAGAAATTTCCTCTTCCTATTCTGTTTCTGCGCGAGGATGATATACTGGTGCTGCAACATTGAGGACGAGGATAAAATAGCATAGTTTATCAATAACTGAATGGAATTGGATCATGTTGTGGAAACGTGAGGTATTGCAGTCGTGCACGACAAAGTGAACCTCATATATCCGCTCGTATGTGAGGCAAAAAAAAAAGACTGGCCACGGAGAATTAGGGGTTTGGTAGAACAGGATGAGGGGAGTGTACTGACAAGGAAAGGGAGAAGTTACGTGGAATGTAGCGGTGTTTTTATTATAGCAAGTCCCGGAGACGGCATTAGCATGACTTCATACGAGGAATAATCACCGGGAAACTGGAAGAAAGAATATACCTTCCGGTGTGGTCCAGGAGTTTGATGTTGCTTACAGCATTGTTTTATGCGCATAAGGAGCGAAATAAACATTAGCCACCACTGCTCGGGTAGGAGATGGTGATCACGAACAACCGCAACAGCAGGTGATTGCTATCACATGCCTCCCGAAAAAAGCAGTCATAAGCAGCCGTGTCTGAATTGTCTAAAATGCTTTCTTTTCTCCCCGCACGCAGTCATTCTCGGCGAGATATGTTGGCTACCATCTCTGGCATGAAAAAGTGGTCGTCCGTAACTTAGTGCGGGATCCACCGGAAACGAGCTTTCTCATAGCAAACCCGCTGTTGAACGTTGTTGGTGTGACAACGTTCAAGCTGCTCCAACAGCTCCGTAGTTTTGGCCCTAGGCTTCTCCTTGACTCCGCTAACCAGGAAAGCTCATTTGGTCAACCCGGCCATTTGAAATGAGATGTATACGTGCCTTGGGACGCTGAGCTCAAATATGTGTTCCTTATCTGCTGAACTCTTCTCTGAAAGGAATTATGAAGCAGAAAAGCGCAGGGGCTGTGGTCGAGGCTCACGAAAAAGAGGTCAGGGGATCAACTCCCTGGCGAGTTTGTTCTTTTGCCGTTTGCAGTAAGATAGCTAGGAAGACTCCTAACATCGCTAGTCCAACATGCTTGCGTATAGTTAACAGTAAAAAGAATTTAAGGGCAATTAATAACGAACTTGGGCGGCATCGCTCCTCACTACTTTGGGCGCTTGTAGCGCAGGCGCCAGGCATTTTTGCTTCGAACAAGTATGATATTCGTAATCAGGGAGCCAGACTCTCCCTTTGAGCAAACTTCTAGCGAATTCTGAAATTTTGACCTAACCTCGAAAATTTGGGCAGTCACCGATCCACCAATCCATTACAAAAGGCTGGCACTTGGGTAGAATAAACCTTTTAAACACTTTTCATAATAGACAAAAATTGTGTCTGGCTTGCCCGTCTGCATCATCCAAAGATCTGCAAAGCATTATTTCCTAATACAACACCTTCTCTCCCCTTTCCCCCGTCGTCCATGATTGGTCAACCCAAAAAAGTGGAGTTTGAGGAGTGGTAATCCCATCACTGCTCCGCTTTTTCTCAATTAGTTCGTCACCTCAGATTTGGCGAAAAACTCGTTTTTAGGGGTAGTTTGATCCCCTGAATACGAATATCGTACCTACTTGCCACGGAAAAGCATAGCACCTGCACTACGGGCACCATGGGCTTTCACAGACAAGTAGTGCTTAAGTTTAAGAGGGTCTGCTTGCAAACTCTTCGTAGATGTAGCGTCGGGCGACCATTGGATAAAATAACAGATTCAAAAAGGCTTTTCAGCCATGTTGGAAAAAAAGCAAAACACAAACCCCGTAAGGGACCGAACCCCGACCCCCTCCGTGAGAAGCAAGACCGCTACCAACTGCGCTACCGAAGGCTCACCTCACCAGTGCCTCGGTTCTCCTTTCGATACTTTTATAATGCGGCTAACATGTGATTGCAGGCAAAACACTGAAAATCAAGGGCGGCAACAAAAACCCTCCGTAACTCCTTTCAGAGAAGAGTTCAGCAGATAATGAAAGCAGATTTGAGTTCAGCGTCTCATGTTGCGTACAGAAATGTGCACCTCATTTCATTTGGCCGGGTTGGCCTAAT